AGCCATCAATCCAAAACACTGAAATCCTAAACTTCAAATCGCAAACCCTAGGTCGCGAACCCTAAACCTTAGACCCCAAACCCTAAATCTTAGCCCCTTACACCACCACTACCTCCGAGCCTGTTTTTGCCGAACCTGATTTTCACCGTGCACCAAATTTTCCCGAGCCTGGGGTCCATTGTGTTTCTTTTCTGGTACTCTTCTGAAAAAGAAAAAGAAAAAGAAAAAAAGCACGGCCAAACTTAAAAAAAAACGACGTACTCACAACCACAAAAAAGAAAAAGAAAAAAACGAACACCCCTCTAGACGTGATACAAGGTAGATACCTGCCCCAAAGCTGTTGTGCCAGTATGCCCTCAGTGAAGGCTTTACAACAGGGCTGTCATGTCCACGAAAAAAAAGAAGGAAAAAAAAAATTCCAAACCGAACTAAGGGCGGGAAAGCGGTTTCATACATTCTACGAAGTTGTAGTGTGGGCATGCCCTCCTTCACAAAGTGTCAGCAGCCCGTGGACTGCCTCCATGGCAGGGCATGAAAACAAAAAAAAAAAGAGAAAAAAAGAAACAGTAGCAACGACAACCTGAAACTCGCCATAATCGTAATTAGATGCTTTCTTGTGAGTATTTGGTGTGAGCACAACTTCGTGCACGACCTTCCTGGACATGGTCTTTTGTTTTTCTTTTCGCTTTTCAAAGGGGCCTAGAAAGCCCAACTGCCGAGCCTTTGCCGACCCCCGAAAAGTTCGGAAAAAGTGGGAAAACAACCACTTTTGCCATTTTTCCCAATACTCGTGGAGGTAGTGATGGTTTAATCGCAAACCTTAAAACCCAAACCCTAAACCCCAAACCCTCGACCGTAAGCCTTAAACCCTAACCTTAAATCATAAGACCGTAAACTCTGAACATTGAGACCTTAATGCTAAACGTGAACGTACAACCAAAACCCTAAACCCTAGACCCTTAAACCACAAAGCCTAAGTCCTAACCCCTAAACACTCGATCCTAAAACCTAAACCCATACGCTAAACCCTAAACCCTAAACCATAAGCCGTAACCTTAAACTTCAAACTGCAAACTATAAACCCAAAACCCTAAACCTTATAAAACAATAAACCATAAACCCTAAGCCCTAAAACGTTACCCATAACCACAAACCGTAGATCATAAACTATAAACCCTAAACCGAAAAACTTTAAAAACTTTACACTTAACCCTAAACTGTAGCCCCTAAACCCTAATCCCCAAACCTCCAGACCTCCACCCTAGGCCCTAAACACAAGCCCCAAGCCCCAAGACCTAAACCCGAAACCCTAACCCCTAAGCCCTAAACCCTAAACCCTAACCCGTAACCCTAACCCATAACCTGTAACCCGTAAGCCCTAAAGCCTAGTCCGCGAACACTAAGCCCTAAACTGTAAACCATAAACCCTTAACCATAAACTCTTATCCCTAAATCCAAAGACCTAGACCCTAAACTGTAACCCTGTAACCCAAAACCCTTGGTCCTAAACCCTAAAACCAAAATCCTAACCGCGAACCCTAAGCCCTAAGCCCCATATAGTAAACCATAAACCGCAAACCCTACCCGAAACCCTAAATCCTAAACACAATCCCTAAACCCTTGTCATTTAACCATTAACCCTAAACCCTAAACCCTAAAGCCCATATTGTAAACCATACACTGCAAACCCTAAAATCCGAAATCAGAAAACCGAAACCCTAAACCCCAAACCCTAAAACCCAAACCTAAACCCTAAACCCTAAACCCTAAATCCTAAAAGAATCCCTAAACCCTTGTCACTTAACCGTTAACCCTAAACCCCAACCCTGAAAACCACAGTCCTTAAAGTCTAAAACCTTCAACCCAATCCTTAACCCCCCGCCCCACAAAAAAAAAAACAAAAAAAAAACAAAGAAAACCCTACGTCCTAAAACCCATCTCTTAAACCACCAGTACTTGACCCAGCTAGGAAGTCCGAGCATCGGCCTACCGGTATGCTGCGCCGTGCCGAGGCTCGAACTACCGGGTGCTTGCTCCCCCGGCCTAGCTGCAGAAGAAAACGGGAAAAAAGAGAAAAACAGAAAGTAATAGACAAAGCAAAAAGTAAATGAGAAAACAAAGGGACATACTCATGTATAGAAAAAAGAAAAACAAAGGAAAACAAACGGTGTCGTTTCTGATGGCCACAGAGAGAGAGAGAGAGAGAGAGAGAGAGAGAGAGAGAGAGAGAGAGAGAGCCGGCGACATGCACGGAGGGTCGCAGCAGACTTCCCGGCCTCTTTCCGTCTCTCTCTCTCTCGGTGCTGTTGAAAGTTCAACACGGGAATGAATCCTTCCCGCAAAAGCGGGACGATTTGTTCCCAATTTTATCTTTTTAACCCCGTGCGAAGAGCAAGAGAGCGAGAGAGAGAGAGAGAGAGAGAGAGAGAGAGAGAGAGAGAGAGAGAGAGAGAGTCGTTGGAAACTCCTACATGGGAATGAATCTTCTCGCAAACACGGGAGGATTCATCCCAAATTTCACATTTTAAACTGCCGGCTGAGAGAGAGAGAGAGAGAGAGAGAGAGAGAGAGAGAGAGAGAGAGAGAGAGAGAGAGAGAGAGAGAGAGAGAGAGAGAGAG